AAGCCTGCTAAAACACCTGTGGGTCCCCTAGATGATCGAGCTATAAAAGGAGCAATCAAGGACGATAAAGGCATTGCGGAGAAACTAAATGATTTCTTTGCTTCAGTCTTCACGGCTGAGGATGTTGGGGAGATTCCTGAATCTGCACCGTCCTTTGTGGGTGATGAATCTGAGGAACTGTCCCGGATTGAAGTGTCATTAGAGGAGGTTTTGGAACAAATAGAAAAACTTAATGTTAACAAATCTCTGGGACCGGATGGCATTCATCCAAGGGTTCTAAAAGAACTTAAATGGGAAATTGCTGAGCTATTATCTGTGGTTTGTAACCTATCCTTTAAATCAGCTTCTGTACCTAATGACTGGAAGGTAGCCAACGTGACACCAATATTTAAAAGGGGCTCTAGAGGCGATCCTGGCAATTACAGACCGGTAAGTCTAACTTCAGTACCGGGCAAATTAGTCGAAACAATAGTAAAGAATAAAATTGTGAAGCATGTAGAAGAACATAATTTGTTGGACAAAAGTCAACATGGTTTCTGTAAAGGGAAATCCTGTCTTACTAATCTATTAGAGTTCTTTGAAGGGGTTAACAAACATGCGGACAAGGGGGATCCAGTAGATATAGTATACTTGGATTTTCAGAAAGCCTTTGACAAGGTCCCTCACCAAAGGCTCTTGTGTAAATTACATGGCCATGGGATAAGAGGGAAGGTCCTTTCTTGGATTGAGAACTGGTTAAAAGACAGGAAACAAAGGGTAGGAATAAATGGTAAATTTTCAGATTGGAGAGGGGTAACTAGTGGTGTACCCCAAGGGTCAGTCCTGGGACCAATCCTTTTCAACTTATTCATAAATGATCTGGAGAAAGGGGTAAGCAGTGAGGTAGTAAAGTTTGCAGATGATACCAAACTGTTTAGGATAGTCAAGACAGAAGCAGACTGTGAGGGACTCCAAGAAGATCTCACCAAACTGAGTGATTGGGCAACAAAATGGCAAATGAAATTTAATGTGGATAAGTGTAAAGTAATGCACATCGGGAAAAATAACCCCAACTATACGTACAGTATGATGGGGGCTAATTTGGCTACGACAAATCAGGAAAGAGATCTTGGAGTTATCGTGGACAGTTCTCTGAAAACTTCCACACAGTGTGCAGCGGCGGGCAAAAAAGCCAATAGGATGCTAGGAATTATTAGGAAAGGGATAGAAAATAAGACCCAGAATATCTTACTGCCCCTGTATAAAACTATGGTACGCCCACATCTTGAATACTGTGTACAGATGTGGTCTCCTCACCTCAAAAAAGATATTTTGGCCTTGGAAAGGGTTCAGAAAAGGGCAACTAAAATGATTAGGGGTTTGGAACGGGTCCCATATGAGGAGAGGCTAAAGAGACTGGGACTTTTCAGTTTAGAAAAGAGGAGACTGAGGGGGGATATGATAGAGGTCTATAAAATCATGAGTGGTGTGGAGAGGGCTGATAAAGAAAAGTTATTTATTAGTTCCCATAATAGAAGAACTAGAGGACACCAAATGAAATTAATGGGTAGCAGGTTTAAAACTAATAAAAGGAAGTTCTTCTTCACACAGCGTGTTGTCAACCTGTGGAACTCCTTGCCAGAGGAGGCTGTGAAGGCTAGGACTATAATAGAGTTTAAAGAGAAGCTGGATAAATTCATGGAGGTTAGGTCCATAAAAGGCTATTAGCCAGGGGATAAAATGGTGTCCTTTGCCTCTGTTTGTCAGAGGCTGGAGAGGGATGGCAGGAGACAAATCGCTTGATCATTGTCTTCGGTCAACCCTCTCTGGGGTACCTGGTGCTGGCCACTGTCGGCAGACGGGATACTGGGCTAGATGGACCTTTGGTCTGACCCAGTACGGCCGTTCTTATGTTCTTATGTTCATCAATATTTACTAAACTGTCCCTCTCAGGTACTAGGCTGTCTCAACACCAACACACAGCGTGTGTGATTTTCAAATCTCTTCCTAGCTGCATACGTGTAAAGGCAAGACGAGTGCATTACGATTAGGGAGTCCGTCTGCCGCATTATACAGGCTATTGTATTTCACCCAGGAATTCCTGCATTGAGCTCTCAGCTTCTGGCTGAGCTGGAGGAGATACTGGACAACGAAACGAAGGGGAGGTTTCAGACTGGATATAGTTGCTTGATATCCCTACCACCCAACTGCTAACACACACTCCTACACTAAAGAAACAGGCTCATGAAAAGCAATATCCAGTTTTGCTACCTCCTGACACCATCAGGTTAGAGATACAAACTTAATTTCAGCTGATCTTAGCACTGGCCTGGAGAAGGGATGTTAAATATCGGTTAATTGAATAGCCGAGTAACCTCATGAATTCTTACTAGTTACTCAACTATTCTGTAGTCCCCAGCCCTGACCTGGAGCAACCACTTGAGAGTATTCAGCTTCCAGGATCCTTCAATCCTTACCTCTGACACCATCAAAGGACTGGATTTTGCTTACTGCTTTTGTAATGTTACCCAATCTGGATTGGGAACACCAGCACACTTCCCAGGCCACTGACAAGGTGTCAGATTCAACTACTGCACAAACATGAAAGCCCTACATTTATATCCTTTTGCCAATCTCAAAAGCCATCCAAGTCTCCCAAAACTGTTTTGATTCAAGTGCAAGAATTATGAACACTACCGCATGCATATTAGGCTTAGACTTCTAAACCAAATCTAATTTGTGGGAAGTCTATACTGACTTTTCAAATAATTCAGTTTAGTTTCAGATGTGAATCAATTCTTCACCCTTTTGGTTTTTGTTTTTAATAGCAGAGCCTTCACAAAAGCAGACACTCGATTCAAAAGGAGTGCATGAAGCAAAAGCTTGAGTTTGAACATTAGAATTTTACCTCTTTGGCTAATAAATACAATATTTTAGCTGCATTTAACCATACCTGTGATTGCTGCATGGCTGGCCATGTTCCCCAGGGTTATTTTTATACTGCTCACCTTAGCTCTCTAATCTTTCCTTGGGCACCAGGAAATGTTTTGCACTTAGCTGATAAGATGGTAATATGGAAATGATCTCATGCTGAGGTGAGAATGTTATCCTGGTGTCTGCTGGGAGTTGTAGTTTAATTAAAACAGGCTCTTAGGAAAAGGTATCAAACTGATGCTAATTGTACAACTGCTGTGTATGACACACACAAACAGAAAACCTGGACTCCCCTAGAGACAGTCAAAGGGGACGAGGTATGGCAGGACCTGGTAGCTGTGAGGAGCCTTTGGGACAAGAGGATTTGGCAGTAAATGTCTCTAATATGAGCAGGCTGTTCATACATTCTCCCCCTCCCCTGACCCTCTATTGGCTCTGCAGGGGCATTTCCCCCATGCTTTGGAGCCTTACTTTCTCCCCCTAATAGCTTCACTCTCCCGCAGAAGATGAATTTTGGTCCCAGCTGCCTTTTTCTAGGACTCTGGCACCAGAGCTGAAAGGAAGCGGGTGCATCCTGGTGTGCAGCTCCGGCCAGAGTGGGCTGAGTTGAGGCAAAAGCCAGCAGGGAGCTATTGACAGAGCTGGCAGGGACCCAGGCTGCGAGGGGACCTGTGAGAAATTTAAGTTTCTTTTACCCCTACCTGACACCCATCAAATGATTTACTACCTGCTCTGACATGCAGTAAAACCTTGACCCCTTCAGATCCCAGACTCTTCACATTGGCACCCTCTGGGCTGTGAGGATCCCAGACTCCAACACACGCCAGAATATGTAACAATTCAATAGGGAGACTCTACACTGGGGCCAGCTGCAGATGAGCTTAAGACTCATCTTGGCGCCAGCATTTTTAGTGGGGCGGCAGAGTGCCAGGAAGCAGGGAACTGAGGCAGTCAGCCAGCTGGCTGACTGTACTGGAACCAGAGCATCAAATAATTAACATGATCAACCTGCAAAGCCAGTCTGCCTAGTCACCTTACGTACACCCTCGTAGGCCATATGTTTAGAAAAGAAAGCTGCAAGTTCGGCTGTACATTTTCACAGGAAATACACCACCCTCTGGCTGAGAAGCAAACTGATAAAACGAAAGCAGTAAGGGAGACATGCCTTTCCCAACTCAGAGTTCAGACCAAGCAAAGACTCAGTTTTAACTGCTTGTTTCCCAAGCTGTCATCCATATCCATATAATACTACTAGGAATGTTAAATATGTGTAATTAAGTAACTGTATAACTGCTCCAAGAGCCGCCTTTTAAACCAGCTCTCCATGCATACTGGAAGCCTGCATGTAATCGTGAATGTTAACCATGTACATGGTCACTCTTTCATATCCCTAAATACCACATCACTGTATTTAACCTATCTTTAATAAACAAAACACAACAGGTCTAGCATGTACTCAACAAGACCCCAGTCAGTGTTCTGTCAACTAACCACATGTACCAATAAACAATAATATTGTTTGCAGTGTTATTGTAGCTGGGTTGGTCCCAGGACACATAGATACATGGTGGATGAGTTAATATCTTTTCTTGTACAATTTCTGGGGGGGTGGAAGAGACATGCTTTTCTGATCTACATAGAGCCCTTCTTGAAATCTGCAGAGGTCTTGGGCGCTTCACAGACTTGAAGAATTCTAAGTAGCTCAAAAGCTTTTCTCTTCCTCCCCCAGAAATTGTATAATAAAAGATATTAAAGTCATTCACCTTCTCTCTCACAGTACCAGTAGTATTTAACTGATAAACGATGGAGTCTTCAGTACGTAATTTTCAGAACTCTCAACTTGGCTTTGTGTATCAACGTATCCTTACCATTCGCACCAAATATAAACTGCCCAACTTGACAGTTGGCTGCAGTTTTATTAGTGGTTTTTGAAAACTATATAAAGAAGACGACAGAAGCGTAAGTAAGTGGTACATGCCAGCAGAATGCTAAGATTAAAATAACTGTAAGATTTATGAACAGCAGTTAAAACTTTATCAATGTGAACTTTACCATTTGCATTAAATAATTTAAAATCACATAGAATTTGCTTGATTGTGTACAATACTGCTTTGTCTTGAACAAAAATTTTAGATCTGGAAATTTTCAGAACACCTATTAAAAAGGTCTGATTTTTGTCTTACAATATATAGCCTGGGTATCTCAGAAAATCATTCAGGATGCTTACTAAATTAGAGTAAAGCATCTTTCAAAGGACCAGTTTTATAAGAAGCTCATTTGAAGGAGTTTCAACAAATGTGAACTTATTAAAATACTTTAAGAAAGACATTGTATGTAACCCCAAAAAACCTGTTTGTAGATTATAGCAGTTTAAGGCAATTCTTCTATACTGACACAAAGAGAATATAAAAATATGTACCACAGATATCAATCAAAAAGCTGTTGCAGGGTTTAGTGACATGTGCTGCTCACTATTTGAGCTATGATGTTTTGGTTTATAGTGCTGTTTGAAACCCTCAGTGAAGTTACAAATTCTGAACTGCTTCACTTCAGCTATGTAATCTTACAGGGACCACACACAAAACATCCACCCCGTAACATCTCTTTAGTGAATTTTTTCCCACCTACATTTAAATATGGTATTTTTTCCATGGGAAAAACCTATTAAAATTGGGACCTTTTCATGGAACAATGGTCCATTTACACCAGTATCCTGTCTCTAACATCAGGCCTCTGGGCACTGGCAGGGGTAGCTGGTTCTGTGCTCCCAGAAGGGGCGAGGCCTTGGACGGAAGGGGTGGGGCTGGGACAGCCAGCCCTCAGCACTGCCCGGATAGCCCAGTACCCTCTATCCCCACCAGCCCTCAGAAGATGCCAGAGCGCACAGTGCAGGGCTCTGAAGCGCGCCGCCCAGCAGTTCTAAAGGACCAGCCGCTGCTGCAGTAGGAATAGGAAGGGTAGGAATGGGGTCCCTGGCCTCTGATTGTCAGAAGCTGGGGATGGGCGACAGGGGATGGATCACGTGATGATTCCCTGTTCTGGTCACTCCCTCCAGGGCATCTGGCACTGGCTGCTGTGGGCAGACAGGACGCTGGGCTGGATGGACCTTTGGTCTGACCCCGTCTGGCCGTTCTTATGTTAACTGGTTCCTGACAGAAGCTTGCAACCTGACCCAAACCAACAGGATTCAACTACAAGTGTCAGGTTTGCATTAGGGATGTTAAAATGGGTTTATTTCGATACAGGTGTAACCACTGAAAGTTTCAGCAGCTACACGTTTACACGCAGGGGGAGGGAGAGGAAGCGGCTCCTGTGGAGCTGTGTGCCAGAGGCAGCATCGCGGGGTAGGGGGCTGTGTCTAACTGTGCAAGTTGACCGATGAACCCAGCTACTGCCGCCCCAATGCTGCAGGAAGGAGTCCCACAATGATGCATCACCCAGCAGTGTCACTCCTGGAGCCTTCTGCAGGGTAAGCAGAGTGTGGGATTGAGCTGAGGGATCCTTTCCGTGCCCCAAGTCCAGCGTAACAGGGATCAGAAACATGGGCTGGGTGGACACAGCACAGAGGCAGATGCTTACAACCCTAACCAGAGCCAATTGGAAGTAGCTGGTACTTGTGACAAATTCACATCATTCTGAAACAACTCAATGAGTGGACTCAGATTTGCTGTGGTCTAGTTGGGCTTTAAAATTAGGCCGTAGAATACTTCTAGCTCCTTAAACATCACAAGTTTTTCCTTATGGCCCTTAAGGTCATCTATTTAGAAGCAAGCCAGAACACTTTACTGGAGGTAAGAGATGACCATAATGTCTTACTTTAGCTGAAAGTACACCTCTTTTGTAAGAGACTATCTAGTTAAAGAATTAATTCTGCCCCATTAGAAAGGCATGTAGGGTACTGACCACAGTCTTGGGACAGCAGGCTATTCAAGTATGGGAAATTGATCTTTTCTAGTTCATCCAGCTTCTCCTTCAGCTTCTTGACTTGGCTGTCAGAGCGGTTGATTTTCTGCCTCAACAGCTTCAGCTCTCCATTCTTTTTTTCCACCTGCTCCCGTAGGCAGCATACTTCACTTTTGCTTTGCCTAGAGGAGAAACAGTATGAATGGAGGGAGTCAATGAGCTTGCAAGTTCCTGAGGCTGAGATGATGACCTCATTGATTGACATGGGGTTGGCATCTGTGTCTCCCTTCTGACCTACCACAGCCTCTGTTGCTGGCTGAGGAGTAAGGTCTGCAGGGGATGCTGACAAATTTTGGGAAGGTTTCTGAGGGGTTGCAGTAAGTGATGAATTAGGGGAACTTTCTACTAAGCTCTTATTGCTACTGCAGCTTGGTTCCACATCTCTCTTTGGCCTTTTCTTCTCAAGTTGCTCTTTTGGGAAAGATGGCTTCTCTCGGGTGTGCTTAGAGGAAAAGCTGTAAGAATGGAGGGAACCAATAAATTTGCAAGCCCCAGAGACTGGAGGTGTGAAGTCATCAATTGATACACCACTTCTATCTGTTATCCAACTCTCAGCATGGACAGTGCTTTCACAACAGTTGTCCACAGATGGTCGTTCTGGCTTTTTCTGGAGTCCTGTCTTTGTGACTAAATTATCAGCAAACATCCTTCTCAGAGGTTCTTCCACCTGCCCACAGACTTTTTCTCCTTGCTCTGTCACTGACCCAGTTTCAGTTTGAAAAGTCACTTGCTCCATCTCATTAGACCCTTGCATTACCATAAAGTCTTGGTCAGAATATGAGGTTCTCTCAACTACCTCACAGCCTCCTTCCCTTGGTTGATCTCCATCCCTCACAAGTATTTGGCTTGCTATTTCAGTTCTACTTTTGACATAATCCTGGTTCTCGTCTTTCTTCTCTGTGAACGGGAAGATGGTTGGCACAGCTGTTGGCTTGAGTAGCCGATGCTGATCTTCCAGCCGTTTGGAGAAACTCTCTTTGGTGAAATGCTCGCTGCAAAGAAAGGAGTACTTGGTTGGAGTCCAGTTGTCCCTCTGAACTGCTTTTAGCCACTGGATCAGACGCTTTGAGTCCTTTAGAGGGAATCTGAAAATAAGTAACATAAAAAGTGTAAAATAAATGGATATTTCTAAAATCAAAGAGGCTCAGTGTTAGTGGGCCATATGTTTTAAAAACCCAAATTACCTAGAAAGCAGTAGGGTACTGGTTATATCTGGTTGACGACTGATTATTGAAAGTTTCGGTGGAATGTTAAATATTCATTTCCTGGGCTGGCAATTAAATTCCCCAGAGAGGACGTAACCTGTGTACTCCCGTCTATTAAAATCAATTAGCAAGCAACTGACCACTCCACTACGTATTTATACCAGTCAGACACCATGACTCTATTTGTACGATAGGAAAGACAAGATGTGAATACTGAAACCCTCTGCCCTGAACAAGAATCTAATCTGTCTTCAGGGACTGACTTGTGTTTATACCGAGTAATGAAGGGATATTAAAGAAGATATAAAACATCCTGCATTCAATGCCAAGAGATCACAGCATTTACACACACTGCATTTTATAATTGACACAAATGCTTGTTTTAGATTGTAATGGCACTTCAAAAGACAAAGACAAAAACATAGCCAGGGATTTCATCTCCATAGAGGAATTTAGTAGATTTTTCAAAGACACGATTTCAAATGGGCTCGCAAAAGTCCTCAATTTTGAATTTTTGCTTAGCATTACCATTGCTATGGTTACTTTGGGATCTAGGCAGATGGACTCCGTGAACATACACAGAGACCATGCCTGCATGTAGGTAGAGGAGTCTGCCTGCACAGTTCTATTTGCATGTTTGTGACTTTGGACCACATGACCCGAGTGTCTGAGGAACACATAATGTTACCCAAATCCAGTAGGGTTATTCAGCAACCCTCCAAACCAAAAGTAATCAGAAGACCTTTCTGAACATCAAAAGATGGCAAAAGAAATCACAAAATTCATACAACAAAGCCGATGGATATAAAGATAATTAATAGCTCTGCAGAATAAAAAAGGACAGCTTACTGTATTTACAGATTGTAAGCAAGAGATATACAGAACCAAATCAGCATAGTTTGTCTTCAGTTTCTAAATACAAGGTGAAAGCAATATTTTTATCCTGGGTTTTGTTGTTCTTATTTTACACAAGGTGAAAGCAATATTTTTATCCTGGGTTTTGTTGTTCTTGTTTTACAGAGCATTTCTTTAATGGAGTTTCTCCTGGACATCACCTGCAGTAACAGAGTATGTCCCAGAAAGGAAGCTGTTTGTATGTAACTCGTGAAACCTCTTTTTCTGCTGTTATTTCTGAGCCAAGCTGTCTTAATGTTCAGCAGAGACATAAAAGAAATGCAAGAATGTGTGCATTTCACATCACCAGAGAAAGGGTACCTGACCACAAAATTATTACCCATACTAACTGAGATATGCAGTAGGGGAAATGTGTATGTGTATGGCTCTTGATGCCAGCCTTGGGCTATAGCTGCAGATTAATTACTCAGAGAAGAGCATGGAGGTAAAGCCAAGTGTGTGTTCCTCATTAATAGCATAAAGAGAGCTACTATGGGCAGGTGTACACTAGAAACTTTTGCTAGAATAGCAATGTGAGAAAGGGAAGGGGGAGAGTTGTATGACATTTTTATACTAACAAAAGTCCTGATGTAGATATAATTATATCGGCAAACAAGTGCTCGTCGGTATAACGTATATCACTTCCCTGAACAAAGTAAGCTAAACCAATAAAAGCATTCATCACAGTACAGGCTGCATCTTAACTAGGAGGGTTTGCTAATAGTTTTTATAATGTAGACTGAATATATGTGTAGGGGAGATCTGCAGGGGAGAAAACAAACTGGACAGCAGAAGGGGAATGCATTTTAGGTCTTGTCTAGATTAGGAAATGCTATTGTGTTTAATCATGATTTTTAACAACACAGTTAGCCAACACAGACTGACCAGGGCTTTGTGGTCAATGCAGACAAGTCATGTTCATGCTATCAGCTAGACTTCATGGTAAATTTTATCATATCAAACCCAACTTGTCCATAGTAATGCTCAGCTAACTGAAGGATTGCAAATGATGAAATGCTTGCTCAAACACCATACTTTCTAATGTAGACAAGGTCAAAGGAGAACATAAGTGGGTAAAGGAAGCATGCATCACTCACTCAACAGCCTAAGAATATAATAGCTGAGATGACTGCTATAGAAAAATCTGCAGGGTGGGGATAACAGGGAACGTGTGTGGGAGGGAGAGAAGTAGATTGCCTGGGGGAGAAGTGGGGAAGGAATATGTGATGTGATGGACAGACAGAGGCATGTTCTGTCCTCCATATCAACAACTTTATGTGTATAGCAGGGCTAAGCAGTTCTACTGGCTGGTGGGAGATGTAGGGGAGAAACGTGTGTCTAGGAATCAAGGAACAGGGCCTGATCATGGCCCTAAGCAAGATTAAACACCTATAGGCTGTTTAGTTGGAGATTTGTTGGGGAGGAGTGTAGAAAACACAGGTACTGGGACAGGTGAGAAGGGGGAGGATAAAATGTGTGTACTGGACAGGAGAGGAAGTTTCTGTAGCTTGACTAAGGGTTCCATTGCTGGGTGGGAAACCTGCAAAGTGGAAGGCAGAGGGAAGTGAGCAGGGGAAGATGAGGTGTGTGTGGGGATGGGGAGAGTTGTGACTCCTTTTTAGGAGGCTGAAGGAGAGATGCAGGCTGTGTATTTCTGTTGGTGGGCTAGGGCAGGGGCTCAATGCATGTCTAGCTGCCTGGGGCCAGAGACACAGGGCATGTGTCCTGTGGAGGTGAAAGGGGTGACTGTGTGTCTGTCTGGGGGGGTGTCTGTCGGGATGTGTGTGTGTCTGTGAGGGTGCCTGTCGGGGGGTGGGTGTGTCTGTCTGT